ATATTACGTTCTTGAATTTACTCATGCATTCTGAATTTACTAAAGATATTAAAATTAATAATTCTTTTCTCTTGAATACTTAAATAACTATTAAATTACTTAAAGTACCTATTAAATCAGTTAATATAACTAATAATCTAGACTTTGATTAGTTGAATATCTTTATTATTATTTCATCAGAAGATGAATTCAAGATTAATATTAAGAAAGAAGATACTGAAGAAGAATCAGAATTCATAAGTTCTGAAAGTTCTACAACTTCTGAAAAATAACCTGAAGTATTCATATCTATATCAAAAGATATTAAATCAATCTTAGATAAAGATTGACCTACTTAACTTAAAGAAGCTATATTATTAATTTATAATAATTCTTTGAATAACAATAATCAAATAATACTATAATATTATAAACTTGGATATATACTTTTGATTCAACTACAGAAATATTTAAGAAATATAATAAAGATTAAAAAGAATATTAAAAATACTCTTAAAAAATACATATATAATAGATTATATAATATTGCTCATAAAATCTTTTTTATTTATAACTCTGAAGAAGAAGCATTTAACAATAAATTTAAGTTTACATCAACTAAATTATATCATTTAATTAAGAAAGAATTATTAAAGTTTATTAATTAATTTTTGCAGGAGCAAAAATTTTTTGAAAAAGAATCATATATTACTATAATAACATAAAATTCCTTAATTTCTTAATTTTTTTCTAGTTATGCAAAATCACATTTTCTTATGATTTTTATTTATTTTATAAATATTTCTATTTTTATATTATATATTACTATATTTATTATTATATTTTTATTTTTAAATATTATATTTTATTTTATATTTAGGATTTATATTTTTATTATTATTTATAATATGATATTTATATATATAGTAGAATAATATAGTGAAAGATTATTTTTAATTTTAATAAAATAATTACACTTGGATAATAATCTCAAATATCTTTTCTTATTATTTAATATCTTTTGATATTCTTTCATATTCTTTTATATTTTTTCATGTTCTTTTATATTTTTTCACATCTTTTAATATCTTTTCATATTCTTTAATATTCTTTCATATACTTTGATATTCTTTAACATTCTTTGATATAATATATTTCTAATTATTTATATTATTATACTTTAATTATATCTTATATATTAGTTAGTATTAGTTAGTAATACTATAATAACTTTAGTATTTGAAAAATATATAAAAGAACCTACTCTTCTAGTATGAAATAAATAGTTTTGGATTGAATTATTTGGAAAATATAATTTTAGAAAATTACTTTTTCTAATTATACTAGTACTTTTTTTTTTACTTAGTTTTATTTCTTTGACTATATAAAATTGATTTTGAATTTTTGGATTATAACATTATATTGATTTTTGATTTATTTGATATCATTTTGAGAGTAAAAGATCTTTACTATAAATAAGTCATACTTTTTATTTTATTATTTTTAAGAGTAGAAGATCTTTACTATAAATAAGCCATCCCCTTTTATTTTTATTTAGTTATTTAATTTTTGTATTTTAGTTTTTACCTTTAATTTAGTTACAATCTTCTTTGATTAATAGTTTTTACTATTTGATCAATTTAAATCTTGAATTATATTGATTATTAGTGACTTCACTCAGTCAATCTTTATAATTTTCTTGATTTATTTATTTATTTATTTATTTATTTTTTCTTTTGTTAAGATAATATCTGTAAATATTGACACAATCCTTAGAAATCTTTGTTATTATTAAAAGTATAGTCTAATTCCTCTCTTGTTATCTTTAATTATTTCAATCTCTTCCAACTCTATATCATTAAGATGAATTCAAGTGAAACTCCACTTACTAATTTACTATAATAGTATTATAATATAATGTAAAATTATTCATAAACATGATTCTTATATAATATAGTATGTAATAAAAAATGTAACATAATGGCTCTGTTATAAAATATTAAATCCTTTTCCTTTCTCTACTCCTTCCCATCCCAGTCAAATAAAATAACATCTTGTAGCAATCATCCTGGCCAAATAAACAAATTGTAGTCATGTGATCTAATATTAATCCGAATTTACTTAATTCGGATTTACGGATTTAATTAATCTGGATTTCAATATAATTCACTACCTGGCTTTAGTGATTCCCGGGGTCGGGAAATATACGGTGCCGTGGAATATTTGACGGTCAGGACGATTCCCTTCATGATTTCCGGAATTGCTGATTTAATGAAATAATTGTAACAGTATTGCAATCACATAATTTTATTAACTGGGTGAACAGAGGAACAGCCGACTAATTTCAGGAATGACTAAATGATCAAAGTGCATGTATTTGAAAGAACTTGCAATAGCGCCATGACAAAGTTTTTTGTTTTTTTGGTTTGAAGACTCGTTGAATATTAATAAACATAAATACGTATTCATTTGTAACTACGTTTTTAGTTATCCCATATTTATTAAATAAATTACAATCTGAATCTATTTTTAAATTTGATTGCACTAGAAGCAAAAAGCTACTTTTACTTTAGAAATATTCATTTTTATAAACTCCGGAGTAACTTGCTTTGAATCGTAGCAATTTCAATTTCTTTATACGTGTGCCGTTTTTAAATTAATTTTTTACTCGCGATATTCAATATTGGTAAATCTTTAAAATAACCGAGTTTTTTGCATTCTTTATCAGATTGTCGACACCGATATCTTTACTCCGCCAAAACATTTAATTTATAAAATTGCATTTGTGATGTTTAAAAACATACATTTACTAAAAACATGAATATTGTGAGCTAAACGTTATTGCAGTAACGAATATATCATATGTACTACATGTGCTAGTTTTCCTTTGAGTTTATTTTATAAAAATGCGTTTTGTTTGATACAATTATGTATTATGTTTTCTTTACATGTATTATGCCAGGAAACGACATACATGTACATTTGATCCAGAAAGGTGTAAATGAGTTGGCGTACATTTTTAAAATGCATTAATGTGTGGGTATTGTGTAAAATTTCGAACAAAAGATGATTTTATCTTTGTTTCATATTATTTTACGTTAGAGTTTATGCACACAAACTCGTTTTTTTTCATTACATGTAATAAATGATACGCCTAATTGTGGTACGGATTCAACTTACATAAAAAAATGGTGAATACCCCATACATGTACTATTAATGTTTTCATATCTTGCGATTTGATTGGTTTGCCCTTAAAACATGTGATCCACAAAAAAAATGATGGGGTACGACAAAAACATGTTTTCCTTCATTTATTTTTGTTTTAATGTCATGTTATTATCTTATGCCTTATATCTTTTAGACATTTATAATGCAGTATATTTTTCAGTACGATTCAGAAATTATTACAGCACGTTTGTCAGCACGATTTTTGCACATTTTATAGTGTATTTTTAGCACAATTCTGTTTTATTTTATATTGTAGTCTGTCTATTTTTATCGCAATTTTTAGAAACATAAATGGATCTATCAAAAAAAAGAAGAAATTACGTGGAGGTTTTTTGAAAATAATAAATACTTTCAAAACCCGTCGTGATTAGATTTTTGATCCAGAAAAGGCAACACTCCATTAGGAATTAGTATCATTGAAATATATCTTTTCTTCCTTAAAATTATCCTCTGTGAAACCTCTACCCAACTTATTGAATTGATATAGGCATGGGGATTGGATCATGATTAGTCTCACTACTCAAACCCTTGTCGCAAAAAAATTTCCAAATTTATCCATTACGCTTTACCTGTTTCAGTACATAATTACAGATTTGTATATGCTTTACATTTGTTAAGTACTTTATGAGTTAATTCAGTTCATTTGAAAATTGAAACTTTCAACAAGCTTTCGATATTCAATAATTTGTCACGATCATTGACTAGTACTTCAAATCAATTGGCAGCTAAATTAGCAACTTGCTCGTGACACCCTATTCTATTTTACATATACAAAAGTAAAAAAAATCTAAATAATGAGTATCTACCACAAAGGAGGAGAATATTCTGAAGTGGAATGTCTCAAAAAATAAAATAAAAAAATCTAGGTTCCTCAAATAGATGCATAGCCACCGGGATAACTTGAAATTTTTTAATTTTGCTTCCAATGTTTCTGCGCTTACAAACACTTTTAATCATTTCCACAAACAATTAGAATTTCAATCGAGAGTCTGGTCTGCCAACACGCGAAATGACTAGTTTGATGCGGTCGGGAAGTTTGTGAGCTGCGTATAAGATAACTGAGAAAAACAAATAACTTTTGAGATTGTGTAACAAAATATATTATTTATTTTATTTATCACCTCTAAAAACTTGGTCAAATATCTATTGCATGTTGTGAGAAAATTTGCAAAACAATCAACAAATCTTTGTGGTCCATTGTATTTATTGATTCCTATATCATTTATAATCTAATTCATAATATTAGTACTATAAATACGTACCTCGGACTAAATCTTCGACGAGATAGATCCGTGAGCAAAAACAGATTCCTATATAAAGTTCCGACGAGAGATGAAGCTCGCCAAGCATTCGTTCCTTTGTAATTCGCTCATTATCAATGAGGCTACTTTTAGCATGAGCATCTTTACTTTTTGATAAGTAATTTCTCACATCGACACCATAATGATGCACGTGATTCGGAGTTTTGGGGTACATTTATCGAAAAAAGCAGGTAAATAATGAAAATTGTAATGTGACACCAAGAAATACTTTTGTGGAATAATACTTTTTGTATTGCATGTAGTACATGATACACATTCAATGCTTTCTATCTCAAAGATACACCAACAAAAATATAACAATCGTTCTTGTAAATAAATACGATAATTAATAACGTGAAAGATTTTAACTCTTTAATCGACTTGTAACAATTAGTTACATTATACAGATTTAGGATATTGGTGATATCCTGCGAAATAAACCATCGAAATTACACAATAGCTGGTACGTATAAAATATCAGCAACAAAAAAATGTATGCAAACTTAAGGAGAAAGTCGATGAAAACATCAAAGAATCAACAAGTGGTTAAGCTTCCGAATGCTGGATTGATCGCAGTTGAGAAGTTGCTGAACGATGAAGAAAAGGTAGAAATTGAAGCAAGAGCGGAACGACAAATCGAACAAGAAGTGAGTTTCTTTGCTTTAACATATACTTAAATTTTTACTGAATGAATTCACAGCTATTTCTATAATTAATTCTAGAAACAGCTACGCGAGCTGACAACAAAACCCGATGTTTATCAAGTCCTACCATATACTGACGAGAATAAATGCATCGTGAAATATCCAACTAAAAATAATAACGAACAACATATCGCCAATACTCTTGATACCGATACTATGATTGGCAAAAAACCGGTATTAATTATTTTTTGTTTTAACTTTGGTTAGTTGAAAGCATGAATTGATCAAGAAAATATAGAGCTAAAACTATATTTACGCAATTTAGACTGTAACTCCCGAGTTTAACCGAAACTATCAATTCCAATTCCCACCACAAGACAATAACGATCTTTCATCACGAAGCATTAACGAATTCTCACCACGAAACAACAACGAATTATCTGTTTCATCTTCATTATTCGCTTCAAATTCATCATCTTCACGAAACGAGAACGAATTCACCGCTTTATCATTATCCTCATTTACTTCAAATTCATCGTTTCCAAACATATCAAATTTGATATCATCAACGCGAAAAAATAACATGATTACATCATCTCCAATAGACGCGGCAACCAACATTGATAATAAAATTGATGATAATACGTTACAAAGAGAGTCACTCAACGACGAGAACAAAGAGAACGAATATGATAGAGAAAGTGAAAATGAAAGTGAAGAAGATAAAAAAAAATCACGCAATTTAAATGCTTTAGCGAAAACGTTCAAGCCTATGATTTCTTCGGAAGGCAATTCTGAAATCGGATGGTTTAGTGATCCTGAGGGAATGAAGAAACCTGTCAACAGTAATAATTTTAAAGGCAAAGACAAGGTACATTAATAATAAATTTGATTCGACTGAGCATATTCCACAAAAATAATCTTGCTTCCAATTTATAGCGTTTTCAAGAAACGAAAGGCAAAATGCCCATGGATCAATCAATCTTCAACAGTAGTAACAAAAACACAGCTCAATACAGTTTCATATCAAATAATTTTGAAGCTGCGTCTACGAATTCGGATGCGTTTTTGGAAAAATTCTCGAGAGAAGTAGCTGCGCGAGTTGAGCATGACATGGAGCTTCGATTATCGAATTTTTTTTCGGATGTTAAAGGGTCACTGTTGCACGAAATAAGTAATAAATTACAGAAGGTGTTGCCAAGTTCTTATGACGAAAAGAAGAAAGAAGAAAAACGTAGAGATTACGAGTGGATCAATGTAGAAGAGGCAAAGCTTGAAAAACTACGTGACGAATTAATTCACGAAATAAAAACCGGTCAACGGGATATTGCGAGCTTATTTACCAATCATCTAAAAAATCAACATACGGTAGAAAATGTTGAATTGATGAGTGAAAATGCAAAATGGCCTGAAAGGAATCGGACAGAACTGCATCAGAGCCATTTTTCCTTGGATCTACAACGGAAGGATTCGTCCTCCTATTCATCTTTGGAGAATGACTTAATGCAAGCTCGTGAAGAAGTGTATAATCTAAACCGAGAATCTGAAAATAAAATCCGTGCGCTTGAGAACCAAATCAAAACTTATGAACACGAACTAACAACTCTGAGACTAGAAAACCAATCAAAAGAACGCGATCTTTATGACCGCAATAAAAAACTTGAAGAAGAAATCATGTCTAAAGAAGACTCATATCTAACGAAATGTCACGAATACGAGCAACAATTAAGCGAACAGTCTTCTCTTATTGAAAAAAATGAACAAAGAATCGATGCACTCTTGCAAGAAAATACTAAACTACGAGATAAAAATAAAGAAATCGAAAAGAATCGGGCGGAACTCACTAGTCTACGAGTTCGCGAAAGCGGCTCTTCACAAACAGAAATTACTCGATTACAAGATCAAAAATCTGCTCTCGAAGCAAAAGTTGGGCAATTGACTAGTCGGAATCAAGAGTTACAGAACGAGATTCGCGGACTGGGTCACCATATAAAAAGAATGGAGGAACAAACCACGCAGCTAGAATCAATGTGTCTACACGTAAACCAGTTAGAACAGAATTCTAACGAATTTGAAAGATTGAAAAAATTTTCTTCCGATCAGCAACGTGAGTTGGATCAAGCTCGTACCTTAATTCAGAGACTCGAGAATGAATCAAAAGAAAACGTAAATCGTATCAAGGATCTCGAAAGGATGTATAATCAATCTCGAAGCGATGTTGATTTACATAAATCTGAACTCGAACTGGTTAGGAAACACAATCGAGAGCTGGCGGAAGACTTGAGCGCTGAACAAAATAAAAAAATTAATGATGCCCTACACATCAAACAAGAATCCGAAAAGAATAGACAGCAATTGGCGAATAAAGCTGAAGAATTGAATAAAGTTCGTTCTGAATTAAACGAAGTATATGCGAAATTAAAAGATGTAGAAGCCCAAAAAACGCGACTCCAACGAGAAAACAATAAAATTGCAAATTTGGAAAAAGAGCGAACAAAATTATTAGAAAATATTAAAAATATAGAATTAGAGAAAAACCATTTACAAATAGAGATGCAACGGGTCGTAACAGAAAAAATGCAATTGGAAACCGAAATTTCGCGTCTTACATCTGCACCAGCTGTTCTTCAACAACCTCAACAACCGCAACAACCACAACCACAACCACCACTACAATCTACTTCGAATTCTCTCTTTTTCCCACCGCTATCCCATATTAACAATCATACTTACCTTCCACCGCCGATATCACAAACACCACAAAATACTATTCAGCCAACACCGTTTGCTTCAACACAACCTGTCAATTATAACTATTTGTCAAATAATAATGTGCAAACAGAAGCTATGGCTATTCCAACAATAAATTCGCAATCTCCGTTTGTCAGCAATTTCCTTCCTACTACACAAGGCGATACTTCTGGTGACGTTTTATCATCTGCCAATACTGTAAACGCAAGTCCGTTTGTTGACGAACGGCCTGTATCGAGAGACGAACTATCCTCTGAAACGAACCATGCAGTTATAGTAAATCCACAAACATCAGCTAGTGGAAGGAAAAACAAGTTTGGTTCGCAGAACCACAGTCGTAAAAATTCACGTCAAACAAAGACAAATAATGATAATCAAAAACCAAAAAGTCGAAAAAATTTAAATTACAGAAATGGTTCGTCTTCTAGTACAACGGCTACTAGGTCGACTAATAATATTGCTGCCAATGAACCTTCAAATACCGCTGCACCTGTCAAAAATAGCTGGGTGGATGGAGGCAGTATTGTGAATAATGCGTGGCCCAAGACTACTAATTCTTATCGTTCTCAATGAAATGAGGTCAGTCGTCGTTTTTGCATCTTCCAGAACAAAATTTTGAACAAGTATGACCTGTGGAATAAGTCTTGCTAAAAACATGTACTAACCTATCTACTCTCTTTAGGAAAGGTTCAAGATGTTTTTAAGACGCGAGTTGACTATATAAAATTGTAGAATGGGTCGAAACTATAGATGTTAACCTAACTTTCCTAGGACCAATTGACATGGTAGTTTGGGTTACATGTACATGTGTATCCCAAGTCTCAGACGATGTCTCAATCCAAAACTATATCCTAAATTCCAAAATATATAAAATTTCAAATATCTACCTTGATTAGCATTTATAACATAATTAAATACTTAATGGCAAATAAGAAATGCTAATACATGCTTTAGATAATGAGTTAAAGTATCAATTTTGTAATCAGAATAAATATCTTCTTTTGTAAGAATTATTACTATTAAAAATTCTTTTTTAGCTGTTTCAAAAGCATCTTTTGTGAGATATAGTGACTCTTATAAATAACATATAACTTAAATTTTTTTTCCTAATTGTAGTAAAATGCATATTTTTATCTCATGTAAATTATTTATTTTATTAATATTTTTTGTTTTAGCTCATTTATATTTCTTTCAGATTTTTAAATCTTTTTGAGAAAGTTATTCTAATTACATGTAATTGTAATTAATTTTTACTAATTTGACTTTGTGTATAATTAGAATTTTGAATTAAAAACAAAATATTTATTAATAAAATTAAAAGCTTTTATATATAGAAAATATGTATTTTAATAATAGTAAAAATTTAGAAAATGTATTTTTTATGACTTATATTATTTAATACTTAATAAGTTTTATATATTATACTTTTTCCTGTCTTTAATGATAGATGATCTTTTTGTACTTTTTGAATGCAAAGATGATGTGAAGATCAGTTTTTCTGGGATCATTGCCTCTAATTTTTTTATACATTCAGATATAAAATCTTTTTTTAAAAGAATACATATACATGTATATGTATCATATAATAAAAAAAATTACATATATACATATTGTAAGGGGAGAATTGTCTTTTAAATTGTCATCAATATAAAATGATGATCATCCAAATTGAAAACATATTTCTTTCTTTTAAATATCAATACTCTCTTTTAATAAAAAATATCAAGAAAAGACTTCACACTATTAAAGCCTGTGAAGTATGTAGAAAAAGAAAATATAAATATATTGGCAAGACTATATATCAGCATTAAACAAGACTTGGACTAGAATATATTTTTGTTAGCATCTTAAAGAAATATGATCTGCAAAAAATAAATAATATTCTTATATTATAATTTTAATAAATAAGTTAATCTGATTTGGAATTAATTAAATTGATTTGGAATTAAAATTTATTTTAAATTCTAGTATATATAATAATTTATATTAATTAATAATTATATAAATTTCAGCATCAGCTATCATAATAATTATAATATATTTTTTAAAGATGTATTATAATCCAAACCTTAACTATTTATACATAAATTAATTTATGTAATTAATTTTATGATTCATGTAGATAACAATATATAAAGAAAGATATTTAGTTTAAAATTATTAAATTATCTTATTAACAAGTCTTATAAAACTCTCAGTTCAAAATACTTATTATATTTTATTCCAAATACTTAATCATTTATAGGATAAATCCTATTATATTATTTTATTATATTTTGATTCTTTAGATTTAAAAAAAATATAGATAAATTATAATATCAATACTTTACGAATGAGCTCATAATACTCTTAATTTAAGAATTTTTATGAAATATATATTTATAAAACTTTTACTTTCAGAAATACATTCTTGGATTTAGTTTTAGTATTATTATAAAATTTAATATCTGAAAATATATTTAGAAAAGATACATTATATTTTATTTTTTTTTAAATAGTTAACTTTACTTGAACTATTCAAAGAAAGTTTGTATAAATTACAATTTTAATAAGTTGCTCTTTTCAATTTAATCAATACAATAATCATATTTATTTTAATTATATTGAGTACTTATTATTATATAAGCAACTATTTCATATAATATAATTATTTACAAAATTTTTGAATTATAATTACAAAGAAATCTAAATATTAAAGAAAAATATCTTATTTCTTATCTTTCATACTTACATATTATGAATTTATTTTTTATAAATTAAAAATCTTATATAAGTTTTTTTTTATATTTATAAATTAATATCTTATGATTTTATTATATACTCTTTATTCTCATTCATTAATTTTTTTTAAAAGAATACAAATTTTTTGTTGACTTAAGAGATCAAAAAGTGTGACCTATCTGCATATATATATGTATATTATATATATAATTACTAATTAATATTATAAATATCTATATATAATTATATATATAATTAAAATTATTAATTAAGATATTTGTATTTAATAAATAATAATAAACTAATGCATTTATACTAATACAGAACATAAATATAATGATAATAATAAATATCTATATTTTTTATTATTAAAGTTCTATATGAAAATATTTGATCAAATTAATTATATTACTAGATTTCAATAATAATATAAAAAATATAAATATTGTAAAAATTATAAATATCAATATAATAATTTAGTAATTCAGTATAAGTTATATCTGCATGTATATCCAAATATCTTAATTAAAGTTAAATAATCATTTTTTGATATAAATTTTGAAAATTGCTAATAGAAGTTCACTTAATATCAATTCATCTGAAGTTAACTTATATAATATAAAAAAGTAAAATCAGATCTTTTTAGTAATATATTAGTATGAAAGTACATTGATAATATTGATTCAATTACATGAATTTTGCATAAGTATGGCCTGAATTAATATAATTAGCATAATATATCTTAATAATTTCTATATTATCTATGGCTTTTGAATATAACTGATCAACTTTTACAAATATTTTATAATAAAAAAAGAAATTAGTTAAATAGTAAGTATATTTTTAAGTTAATTTATATTTATAATAATTATAAATTACAAACTTTTTCAGATAATCAAAAAAATTTGTTAAAAAAAATATTAATAATGAAATAAGTATTAATCAATATTATATTAATAATAAGAGTAATGAAAGTAAATATCAGGATAATAATGAAAGTAAATATCAGAATGATAATAATAATAAATAATTTAATATATCAAATAATAGTAATAATATATTAGAAATATCAAGTGATAGTAATAATTATTAATAAATGTATATAATAATTATAAAAAATAAAATTATTATTAGTTTTTATAACTTCACATCATGTATTTGATTACTAATATGTATATATAGATTATTATATGTATTATATATATAATTTAATATAAAAAGATTAATATATTAGATAAATATTAATAAATTATTTTTTCAAAATAAAATTTTAATTCTATCTTATTGTAATAATTTTGATTGGGTTATCTTTCTTTAGATCTCTTTTAGCTTAGATCTTTATTTTGCACTATCTGTATAACAGATTAGCTTTGTATTAC